CGAACATACTGCAACATAGAGCTGTCACATGATAAACACATATATTATGGCTAGTATCACTACACAATTATTAATGTCATCTGGCTTGATTTATGACAACATGTCCATGACAAATATGAAGTCTGGCTGTCCTAACTTTGGACAAAATTTCCCTTGGTTTATAGTTAAGCTATACATGTGTTGTTTTGTTCATTATGTACCTAAGGCTTTTCTGAGTTGCATATTTTTTGAGGACACATCCTGCGTTCTATCTTATTGTACACACTGTAGAAGTGGTTGATTGTCTGATAAGAACAGCAGCTTTTGGTAAACATCTACATATTGATTAGATTGTTTCCAAAGGAACCAACTCCAATACATGTGCAAATCATGTATTGCTTGCATGAAATCAGTATTCTGTAGAGTTGTTTGTTTCTTCATAAGTCTGTTTTTCTAAAAAATCATTGTTATTCCCCTTCTACATACCCCACTTCACTGGAGACAGTGTTCCTGGTAGTGCTTCTCCAGGTGACTCTAGCTGATGCACAATCACTTCCTCCACTCGAGGTAGAGTGATGAGGCTGGGGGTTCCAACACTCACTATATTTCCATAGGCGGGAAAGCAGCACCGTAGCATCAGCCCACACCATTAACCTTGGCTGGCTGCACAAGCACAATTCAAAAAGCTAGCAGAACGGTGGAGACAGTTGGAATTATAGGGCAACACAAAGCTAACCCCATATTAAATATGCCCAGCCATGTATTCCACACAGACAATGGGTTAAATGAGCATTATGACATCTGGAAAGCATCTTTGATTTGTATCAACAAATAATAAGACAAAGAGGGGGCAGCCGTAAGGATACCACCACCTGCCTATTAAGTATCACCTATTGAAATGCTCCATCTATGGAAAAGGCTTAATTAGAAAGTATCTCTTTTCTTCTCTGTATTTACATTAAAGAATGTAGATGGTCTCGATCAAGTTGGTGATGGCTGCCTGAATCGCCTTCAGTGCGGGCAATTTCTGATTTATGGGCTTAGAGCTGATTATGTAACCTTTGGTCCATCTTTTTTTTTTTCAATTGTCAAAATTTTGGACTGCTGCTGATCAGTACACCATAACCAAAGGTCAAGACGGAGTAAGAGATTATGGACGAAGGTTTGGTGGCGACAAAGAAGAGATCTGCTCATTCAAATACTTTTATAGATTTTTATCACCTAAGTGATCTCTTGTTACCACAGATGATCACAAATGCTCAAGTTTTCCTGGTGCCTTCAAGCCACCAGGCCGGCCCATCACTTAGCTGAAATAGCATAAAATCAGGCCTTGGACTAATTCTCCTGAATCGCTCATTTTGATACCTGAACTCTAACATTCTAATTCACACACACACACACACACACACACACACACACACACACACACCTATTGTCCCAGCTTCTTAATTATTCACTTCCCCCTTAATAGCTTGCCTTACCCCCGAACGTGAGACTCAGAATCTCCTTAATTACTGTTTAGATACTCCCATTGCTACAATGCCATCAAACATACCAGGAAAATACTTTGCCTAACTCAACTCAGGCTTCAACATCTCATGTCTCTATGCTCCAGGTTTATAAAACAGATATTAGAAGGAAACACCACAGGGCTTGATTAAGAACTCTTTCAAGAATGCGAGCTCTGAGCAACAGCGGTTCAAGTCCTGGCCCAAGCTGAGCTGCCACTGAGATGCCAATAGGTAGCAGGGTGACTCAGTTAAAAAAAAAAAAAGAAAAGAAAGAAAGAAACAACACATATCTGTTAAGATGTCCCATGAACTTGCAGTATAGTGCTTGACTTGAGAAACTTGAGCACTGGAGTTTTTCTTATTTTCCTTGTTATCACTTAGGCGTGAACCCAGCATTCCTAATTCATGTATTATGAAATTCAGAAGCTGCTTATCTTTGTAGATATAAGTGACATCGCAGAAGTAGTACCACCTCTAAGAATTAATCCTAATTTGCACCATTGTGGACCATTGTCTGTTATATCTTTCAATACCCTCTATTATGCATTTTATTATGAATTTATTATTCTATTGAATTCTGTTATGAATTTATGACCAGAGATAATGTTTTTCTCTTTAAGGAGTAGTAGCCTTTGCCTATGAGATAAGAGTTACATATTCTCTTGTGTTTCCCTTTTTATCTTGTCTGCCAGGAATCTTAGAGCTAAATTAAATACTCATTCTCAAAGGGCTGGCTGAGTGGCTCAGTTAGTTAAGAGCTCGCTCAAGAGTTTGAGCTCTGAGCAACAGCGGTTCGATGCCTGGCCTGAGCTGAGCTGCCGCTAAGCTGCCAATAGGTAGCAGGATGGCTCAGCTTAAAAAAAAAAAAAAAGTACCGTAAATGTTCATTCTCAGAAAACATGCTGGGCTATGTAAGTATGATTCCTTGTGACATTCCCCACTTATGGTCTTTATTTTCTGTTTTTATTTTATTGGACTTATTGTAAAACTATCCTTTATCGTGAGCCTTTTCACAACCTTTGAAAATGTAAGTTATTGGCATTTTTTTAAAGGTAACTTCATCCCATGAAAAATACTCAAAGTCCACATCTCAATGTCCACATCTCAGATATCATCATGTATAAAACTCATCAGCGGGCCAGCTGAGTGGCTCAGTTGGTTAAGAGCTCACTCAAGAGTGCGAACTCTGAGTAACAGGGTTGCTGGTTCGATTCCCGGCCTGAGCTGAGCTGCCAACAGCTGCCAGCAGGTGGCAGGATGGCTCAGCTAAAAAAACAAACAAACGAACAAATAAAAAACAAACTCATCAACCCAGAAAAAAAGAAGGAAATTGTGGATCTACGTTTTTAATTCAATACAATAATTTAAATTATAGAAATTGATTACGTGAGCATTTAGATGCTTACCCTGTCCAAGGGTAATGCACTATAGGCATGCTCTATAATACTGATAATTTTATAAGACTTAATAATAAGGATGTTTAAATAAGCATAACTAGAAATATCTTACAAATCAAAGTTTAAAATGTGAGAGGCATTCAGAAATGGTTTAGCAGGTCAAGTTAAATTATTGTGTAATTGTATATGTTATATGTGCTTTCTCCCCATCTTTTGCTCATTTACATTAGTTGTCTGGCTGTAATTGGACTTGAACTTTTCAGTTTATATGAATTTTTACATAAGAAAATTTATTATACTGGGGGAAAAAAATCTTCGCAGGAGCAGTACATAAAACCAACCACTGTTTGTTTTACATATAATTATCTTCTCTTTCAGCCTGTGATGTAGGCTTGGCTCCTATGCAACTCAGATCTATATGGGATTGTCATTTGATTTACAGCAGATGACCTGGCATCATATAAAAATAATTTACTGTATGATGTACCTCACACCCTATAAATCAATAGTTTGAATACAGAGACATCTTAATTAGTGCAAAGGTAGCAAGATCTGCCTCCTCCTTTCCTATAGCATTAAAATGGCAAGTATTGCAAAGCAGAGCTTGTTTTAAAGTTGCTTCAGAAGTGGGGCTCTATTATGTCAAGTTGGTAGTAATAAAGTGAGAGTTGCCATCAAACAGTGAAAAATCAAGCATGAAGTTGTATAATAGCCTGTGGTGGGTGGGACTTGCATTTGTTAAAATATTGATCGGTGCATTTCTCCAGCACCTCTGTATTATCATATTATCATGGCTTTAAGGAATTGAACAGGGTGTTAAATTATGACTCTGAACACAGAGGAGTCATCCATCCTTCCTACCCTGTTCCTCCAGGAAGCCTCTAAACCAGCAGTTCTCAACCTTTCACAGGGGTCGCCTAAGACCATCGGAAAACACATATTTTCGATGGTCTTAGGAGCTGAGACACTGCTCCTCTATCCGTCTCCAGACCCACATGCAGATATGCCCACATACGAGTACCCAGTACCCAGCGACCCCTGTGAAAGGGTCGTTGGTCCCCCAAAGGGGTCGCGACCCACAGGTTGAGAACCGCTGCTAAACCAATGTAGCATGCATTTATGGTATTAACCACAATGAGATAAATTATCTGGAGACTCAACTGGGGTCTCTCCCCACAACGCACCTGAAAATTAAGAATCATTACAAAAGCCTTATAATGAGGAAGCTATATTATCCATCACCGATCATATCCAAATCCCAATGGTAAATTCAAGATATGATCCACATAGTTTGCTCATGAAAATTTAAGGGCAACTTCTCAAACTGGCCTGGGAGAACTTCATAGGGGATAAAAAAACCAAAAATTATTTTCCTGATTTTGCATATGGTGAAGTGAAATATAGACCTGAAAGTAAATTGTCCCTCACGGGGTGTCCGTACCTGGTCCCAGGACTGTAATTGCACAAGTTAGTGTTTTTTCTTCCAAGGAGCTGAATAGATTTTAAATAACAAGTTGAACCTTCACCTAGCCTGATATTAACTATAACTGAAAACTGAAAGATTCTGATTGTGCTGGAATTAAATCTAAGAAGAGCTACTTTTTCAGAATCCTCCTCACCAGTTCAAGTTGTATCTTTTTAAAAGAAAGGGGCTCATTGATTTCTTTCTTTTTTTTTTTTAACTACTCCTAAATGTTTCCTCTAAGTCATGAGTAATAGCTTACTGGATAATTAGATACACTCTGTCTCTACCTTAAAATAAGATTATGATGACCTGACCAGTGAAATTTCATCCTCCTGGCTGGCCTCTCACAGGACATACCAATGAGCCACAAATCCACCACATCTTACTGTAAGACCCGTTGGAAAGCCGTCCGGGAAGAAAAGACTACCAGTTCAATAAATCCAAGACTATGTGAGGTACGAATGAAAAGGTTCAGAAAATTGGTCCAAATGCAACAGTACGGCTTGGCCAGAAGACAAGATCTAAACTGTTTGGGGAATTAGCTAGTCACATGCAACAGAAACTTGCACAATGGAAATTCAAGCAACGGTGTCACTGGTGCAGGGAGGAATGCACCTTCCGAAGAAGAAGCCCAGTTCATTACAATACCTGGAGAATTGCTGCTGCAGGCCACGCATCTGAATTCTGTTGCGTTCGGACTCCAGCGTCACCTCCTGCAACCGCTTCTCACTCTGAAGACGCAAGTGTCTCTCCTCTTCCAATTCATGTATCAGCTTCTCATGCTATAAAAGGCACAAAGGAAATGAATGTTAAGAAGGTGTTTCTTAAATATTATGACAAAAATAATTAGCAATAGTTGTTGGTTACCAAGTGCTAAAATGAAATTATATATATATATATATATATATATATATATATATATATATATATATATATATATATATATATATATATAAATTTTATCCTTGTTACAACCCCATGAAGTAGGTCCTATCATTAATCTCTTATTATAGACAAGGAAACCAAGGATCAGAGACATCTAAGTAATTTGTCATAAAAAGCAGAAGGTAACAGGTTTTCAATCCTGGCTGATTTGACTCTAATGCTTAAATAATTTCCACTAAACCAGGTGGCTTCCTGTGCAGATATGAAGATCTATGACCCAATAATACTGTGAAATGCATAATAATTCAAGTAATAATGACTGAGATCATTAGTGCCTGCTCAGAATTATTTCATCTCTTCAATCTCTGGTATATGCTTTAAGGAGAAAATTACTGTTTCATAGAAGGGCCAAGAATTTCAAGTTAATTAGACCATAGAACTCATGAAAATAATGTTAAAGAATTAGTTTTTATTTTGTCCTGTTAGGTTTTCACAGATAAAACTAGGCTAAACCACCCATAGTATTTACAATCCCAGAAAACTAGCTCATCTCACAAATGGATATCAGGGACAAAAAGAGGGACTAGATGTCCCAGAACAGATGATTTAGCAAAACTCATTCTCAGAACTGGTAAAAAGCACACAAGATCAGATCCTCCTATCTTCCTGACATAACTAACTCAGCCATGCTAATGTTGTTTGTGCTTTTGTTTTGTTGTTGTTACTAGGTTGTTTGTTTTTGGGTTTTTTTTAGCATGTCATGCTGTTATAGTTATTACTTTTACTAAATTAAGCACTTTGCATACAGGATATATATTCTATGATGAAAACCAAAGACTCAATACCTGATTATGAGGGACCTAAGTTCTTAAAGGGAAAGAAGAGAAGCCAAGACCTCAGTTTCCAAATCCATTAGATACTGTGACTCTACCATGCTTTACCCAGGATGCAATAGGATCAATTACATGGGGCACATTCGTGGGAAGTGATAGCAAAGATGGAGTTTCTCCAGCTCGAATTCATGTGGGAAAAGTTCTCCTGAAGACCATGAGGGAAACGTTAGATCATAATCTGGAAATGAATCAAGGTCATCTAAAACGACTCGCACACCACCCTGCCTCTGTAGCTTTGACCACGTTCTTCCTTCGGCTTTCAAAGCCCTCTGAATTCTCTCTATTCACAGCCTCGGCTCCAGGTGCAGCGCTAAGCCATCCCTCTAGATTGTTTCTCTTATCACTTCATTGTTATTTCCCTTCCTTGAGTTTCAACAGCATCTACTGTCTTTACCACTCTGCAGGTCCTTACTTACTATTTTCTGTATTATTTTTCATGTGCATTTATTATAATTCTCCAACTACATGAACAATTTGCTTAAGATTAGGACTACGTCTAATGCACATGTATGTTTTGTATTTAGCCTATTACCCAATGCACAGTAGTACTGATAATATATATTGATTATTGATTATGGAGCTGGCCTTTTGCTGAGTCAGGGGTATAACTTCTATGTCCCTAACTATCCAATGGTCCATTTTTAACCTCACAATCAGTCACTTCTATTGGAATCAGAAAAAGAAAAGTCAAAATCAAATCTTTATTCTGTCACTCTCTAGTAACTTTGGAAAGGAAGAAAAAGTGGTTATGGAAGAGAAATATGCCAATTAAAGTCATATTCCTATAAAAATAATTAAAATGGCAACTTTTACATTTACATATACTTACCACATAAAAAAAAACAACTTAAAATATAAACTCTTTACTTAGTTATTACTCATAATCAACACTACTCTCTGTATAGACTCATTGGACTAGAAGGAACTTGAATAAGTCCAATTATCGAATTGGAAAGACTGTGCTTTGATTCCAGAAACAGGCAATAAAAAATGGTGTGTGTTAAATTTTCAAATGCACATCCTATGAAGGGTGTGAAGTTTTGCAGAGAAAATGTCACTTCCTTTAAAAGTAAAGGATATTAACATAGATTCACTCATCTCTATATTACAGAATCCCCAAAATCTAATAAGGGAGAAAGTTTACCATATGGATAATCTTTCTGTTTAATTGGTTAATGTCTTTTTAAATATAAGCAAAAAGATACACTTACAACACAGAGAAAGTTTTAGAGCATTCTAAGACTAGTATAGGCAAAAGTTGTTTACTAAAATATTTTCTCTTCAAATGGTGTATGTTTCAGTTAAACCATCAAAACTTGACAATAAGCCACATCTACTTTCCAAATATGGGGAAAACAATTCCTACCTAAATTATAAAACATGGCTAAAAGCAGCGAGAGAGTGTATCAATGGATTGGCCAGATTTATTTATTTATTTATTATTATTATTATTATTTTTTTGTATTATTTGTATCCTGGGTGTAAACAGATTTATCCTCAAAGTAATTTTGGTTTTTTCCCCACAGGTTTGCTCTGTGTCATTTATAGCAGGGAGACTGAAAGGGAGTGAGAGATAGAAATGGTTGGGTGTTATTTATATGGTGCCATTAGGTACTGAAGACCAGTAAGTAAAAGAAATGTCACAGAAATCTGAGTTACTAAATTTCTGTGGCAATGCCTTTAGGGCTGAGTCTAAGAAGTGACATTCAACACATGTTCATGGAGGCTTTGCCAGCCACGTCTCTTCCTTCCCTTTAGAGACATGGGCTTTACTCTCATTCAAAAAGCAGGTTTGCATACTCATCTCAACAAAAGCTGACTCCAAGTAGGTAAACTTTCTACCCTGTGTTCTTCTTCAGCTGCTATCTCTAACTCTGAAATAAGTCCTACAAGAATAATCTTCAATTTGGAGAGCACATCACATTTTACAAAATGTTCCCACTTTCAATGCTGTATCTTGTCCTCAGAACAACTCAGCAAAGTCAGTTGTTATCAACTTCATTTAAAAATAAAGAAAGTGGGGCCGGCCGAGTGGTGTGATGGTTAAGAACTGGCTTGGTATGCCAGAGGGCCCCGGTTCGGATCCCACATATGAGGGCCAGTGACACTGCCCTCTACAGCTAAGATGCTGAACAACAGCTCAACCTGGAGCTGGGCTTCCCTGAGTTGCCGGCAACGGCATAGGTTGCAGCCCATGTGGCAGTGGGTTGCCATGGGCTACCGTGTGTAGCCAGCAACCAGTGTGAGCAGCCAGCAGCCACTGTGAGCGGCCATCCAGAAGCCGGCGACTGATCTGCCTCGCCCAGGAAGAGCACAATGATGGTGCCAACGTGGGCCAGTGAAGCAACGTCCTCCACAACTAGACTGAAGAACAAAACAACAGCAACTTGTCTGTTCCCCTTCCCCCAATTCCCCAGCGCTGTTCCCATCCCCCCAATTCCCCAATAAAAATCTTTAAAAAAAAAAAAAAGATAAAGAAAGTGGAGTCAAGAGAGGGAAGGAGCTTGCCTAGATTAGAAATGACACTCTGGGACCAGAATCAAGTTTTTTTGGACCCCAAGTCCCCATTTCCCTCCCTAATACAGTCAGTTTTGCTACAACACTTATCTTAAAAGTGCAAACTTATTCCAATGCAGTTGATATAATGGGACAATTTGAGCATGACACAAATTGCACATTTGTGTATGCCTGATTTCATTCATGAGAAACATAAAGTGAACACAGAAAATTGCACCTGTTGAACCCAGCATAGAATACACAAATCACACAGATCTCAGAGAGACTGACCAGCGCCCTCAGTCTACCACCCGTGTTATGAGTCACCATCATCCATAGCTGCTGGTACTCCTTGACCTCTGATTTCAGCTTTCCTTCAGCTGCTTCAGCATAACTCAAACACTGCCAGTGAGCACTGCCACGAGCCAACTGCATGTCCTTTTCAGGGAAAGTGTCATATTTAGTGTATTAATTACATATTTCTTAGTCATTTAACACACGTAAAACTTAACAGCCATTTTGATTAGATTCCTAGCTTTTTGTATGTGTCCCTGACAAAGTTTTTGAGTATTGTGTTCCAGTTCCACTTTTCCCACAAGCCCTGTGCTGTGATCTTTAGGAATGCATATGTCATATTATAACAGAGCTGAGTGGACATCATAGTGGAGCAAAAGAAATCTGAGTCAAGTGTAGAATTCCTGAGCTCTTTTCCTATTTGTGCCCAAGCAAAGAGTTGGGCCTTCAACGATGAATCAAACATACAAACAACAACAACAAAAAAGGTATCTTAAGTCCTAATCTTTGTTCTCCCAAATGATCTTGTCTGTATCTCACAGCCTTCACACAGAACTTAAAGTTCCTCAGATTTAATTACTATCTTCTGATTAGACATCTAGGGAAGGAAGACTCCACAATTTCCCTGGGTAATCCATCTTATTTTTTTAAAATCCTCTTCTGATATGTTTTAAGACTTGCTTAAAGTGTTTCAAGTATCAAAAAACCATTTTTATCTGCATGTTCCCAGGAAATGGAGAAACATCTACAGGTTCTGACATTATTTTCTAATTTAATAAGGAGCTCTGCTTAGAAAAGGAGCTATGTACACACCCACATGGATTTATTCATTCTCTCAGAACATAATTGTTTACTGAGCAGTTACTATGTGACAGAGACTAGACCAGAGCAGGAGACAAGCAATGAGGCAAATAAACATGGCTTCTGATGACAGTAGACTTACACACAAGAGGAGAGGGTAGGTGCTAAATAAACTATCACACAGGTAGATATATTAGAATAAACTGATAGATAATTAAGCATTTACTGAAACATGACAGCAAGAGGAACTGATTTTATTTGGTGGGTTAGATGAAGGCTTCTCTGAGGAATTAACATTTGAACTGAGACCTCTGTGATAATTAGTAGTTACCAGGTAAAGAGAAGAGACCAGCACTCTAGACAGAGTGAATAGCAAGTGGGAAGTCTTTAGTTACAGACAGAAGAACAAAGAG